AACTCCCAGAATTCTGGGAGTTGAAGTCCACCCATTTTAAAGTCGCCAAGGTTGAGGGAACCCTGCAGTAGAAGATAATCTTTTAAATCCAAATGATTCATGACATTAGGGTTTTTAATTATGGGCAGAAAAGAGCTGGTGATCAGTGGAATTGTTGTAAGATAGATGCGATGTTCTCCTTTGTATAACAGTATGCTTCAGCTTATAGTGGACTGGTGAAGGGTTTAAAAAACAAAGAAACAACGATATTTGCTTTAAAGGTATGCACACCTTTAGACACAGATACACAGGTTATGCAACGTGGCATCATTTGGGATTCTCATAATTAAAACAAAACCTCACGGAGTATGTTCTGTTTTACATAGGGAAACAGAAACAGCTGGAGGCGGAACATGAAGATATGTATGTGGAAGCTGACCATGACCTTCACTTGTCTACAGGCCGATCGGCGCAGCCCCCAGCCGAGAAGCCTGGCGAGAGAAGAATGGCTGAAATGAGAAGGCTCTACGGTCCAGGTGCCAAGAAAATCCAAGCAATGGAGACCACCATGCAACTCAATTTTGATAGGAATTGTGATAAAAAACAGCCCAAGTACTGGCCAATTATCTCTCTGAAATTCTGAGCTATTCGTCTCTTTCCCTTTTTGGAGATTCAGAGCTGTATATCTTGATATTCAACCAAGCAGAAGGATTAAGAGTCAGCAAAAGACCTTTTTAATTTTCCTTTCCCCTTTCCAGCACAACTTTGAATTTGTCTGCCAGTTTCCAGAGTCTATTCCAGCTCAACAGGAAAAGCTGAATCGGTCATTTGTACTACAGGGGATAAGGAAAATTCCCTTTTAAAGGGTATTTCAACTAATTTAATTTTGGCATGCCTTAGCCTTGCAGGGAATGAAGTAGCATTTGCTTTTGTTCAGTTGGGCTAGGGAAAAGGCTAAAGACTATCAAAATGCAAAACCCCTTTTTTAAAAAGTTTTTAGTGTTATTCTAGTTTTGCTGTAGGGTTTTAAATGTAACTATTTTTGCAACGGTTTCTTTTCTTGGAGGCATCTAAATTAGTTGGACAAAATATAATATCTCAAACTACTGCAATTTAGCTTTTGAGTTTGTGCTGAGGTCTATGTAGAGGCAGAGAAAGTTTCTCTTCCAAAATGCAAAGTTGGGCTGTAAGATTTCAAGTCAGAAACAAGCATTGTCTGCTTTCACGGGACTACAGAACCAAAAAAAAAAAAATCAAAATACATTTTTGTTCATTTCAAAGTTGTCTTTAGCTGATCAGGAAGGAAAATAATCTAAGCATCAAACTGGACATTTGGGGGGGGGGGTATTTGCATTCGATTCCCATCAAGAATAGAGTGGAGCAAAGGCTTAATCTTAATTGTGCCACATTCATTTCCCCTCCATGGCTACCGACTCTTTTCTTTCTTGTCTTATTTAGCTGTAGACATTCAGAATCCATTTTAAAAAAGGTGGTTCAAAGCTGACATTCCTGTGAACTGAGAAAGGGCACTCATACATATAGATAAATACATTTACTGGCTGACATTTCTGTCTCATGAGTGAAAATATGCATTACAAGTTTTACCGTTTTCAAACATTTCCTTTGGACAATTATTTCCCCAAAGCAGTACCTCCATAGACATCCTGTGCTAATATCTTATTAACTGAAATGAGACGTTTGCCTCCCTGCTATTCAAATTACCTTATATGGTACACTATTCAGAGGTCTTCCTTAAAATGCATAATTTGTTATGTAATATTTATTTCCTTGCAAAATTAGCAGCTATATCAGTAAAGGGCTTACATTTTATCTCTTATTTCACAAAGAATTAGCATTGTAGCATGCAGCTCATTTCTGCATTCAATATAGAAGTCATCTGCTATACATGGTGCATTTGGAGAACATGTTGATAGATTATAACACCAACGTGCCATGGTCTCTTTTCCAAGACAGAATTCAATTTTTGCTTTGTGGAAAAAAAGAGTTTTATTCAAGTTTTAGCTGCACAGATGGCCTTTGCTGTTCATGTGTATTTTTCTCTATGTGTGTTACTATCTATAATTAATATTATACTAAATTGACAAGGAGCATTTCTTAACTATTTCACCTGTTTTGAAAAGGGGTGTTCTGTTTCACCGATATTTGCAGGTGGAAGATAACAGGGTTTTTTTTACAGGGAGAATTTGAAGCTTACAAAAGAAAATTTGTGGGACTGCCTCACTTATATCTACCCATCCCAGACACTCCAGTAGAGCAGGCATGCCATCAGATGGGCCCTAGGAAGTTTGCCTGTTCTATTGGGATGTCTGCCCTCTGGAATGATCACCCTCAGCTGGCCTTCCAAACGGCAGTAAAAAAAATGGGTTTTTCCTTGGGTCTTGGGCCCAGGATGATTGGAGTTCCCATCTAGATGTGAGTTTCTGGTCACCTATTAATGTCTTGGGTTTTAATTGAAATTGTTTAACTTGTTTTGCTTGTACATCACTTGGAGTCACAATGTTTGAGTTGGGAGGCCATATGAATTCTTTTAATAAAACAATAAAGATTCCCTATACAATTGTTTGAATGAATTAGAGCAATTTCCACAATAAAATGTGCATTTGGAAGTCTTTTTAGAGCAATTGCTATTGCAAGGTTCCCAGAAAGCCTTGTTCTGTTGTCTGGGGGAAATTCAAAATGGTGTCTGCCTTAAAAAAATAAAAGCCAGTTTCCTTTGCCGTCCATTGAGGGCTGCTGTCAAATCTGTTGAATTATTTCCAGACAGTATGCTTTTAATAGTGCAGAAAGATTGTTCTTAAAGCAGCATTTTTTAAAGAGATGGTCTGTTAAATAATCTTTCTTGAAAGGGCTGCAGTTAAGGTATGTTTGTATTAAAAGTTTATTTTTAAACCTGAACTTTATTTGAAACAATTCAGAGTTTGAAAGCCAAAACTAAGAAGTACCTTTTCAGACTAGAAAATTTATTAAAATGCATTAGCTTTCACGAGCTATTCTATTGCATCTGCCACTCCAATGCATCTGATGAAATGAGCTGTAACTACCAAACTCCTTTTGAATTTTGACTACCAGAGACTAAAACAGCTCTCCTCCTACAATGTGTACAATGATAAGTTTGAAAGGTGAAGGAAATTGCAATCCTATGTCTCTTTAATCAGAAAATAATTAAGAATTTTATCTTACAAGTAAAGATGCAGTCAAATTATAATTATAGCCACTCCAAAAATGCTTGGGGGGAAGTGAGAGAGAAGCACAAGCCTATTTAAAATCAAATTAAGACCAATTAGTTACTTCCCTTATGATCATCACTTGTTTGGGAGATATAAGTTAGGAACTATCTGGATTCAGAGATAGTAAGTTGGCATTCTCTGCTTAGTTCTACTTTTTGCATGAAGCAAAGTACTGTATATATTCAGCTTGCTGTTCATTCATTTAACAGATTGTGGGTTAACACAGTGAGCGAGCATGGCTGTAATTCATGGCTGAGTTTTTTCACACTCAACTTCAAGTCCAGCCTTCTCCACAGTTCAACATGATACAGAAACAAGACAGTATAGTTTGCCAGTGGATACTACAAAATTGGCCACATCTTTCAGTCGACTAACCTTACTATAACTACGTTTGTCGTTGAACTGTGTTCCTATTTTATAGGCATATGAATGAGCATAAAGGAGAGTCAGTTGTAGAAACTCAATAAACACTTGTATTCAGATCATCACACTGACTGAAATTTGATAGTATAATACACAATAGTTTCACATAATGACCTGCTAGCATCAATAACTAAATCTCAATGGGCAATTTTTCATTTCACAGTGCTCCAGCTGAACAGCACAGGTAGCAGTTATCAATTGTTACACAGGAGAGCGTCTGTTATTGTAGAATTTTGGATTAGAATTGCAGAGGTTGCTCAGTGGGACCATGTAGCAGAAGGCAACCTCACATCATTCTCAGTGGGGCCATGTGGGCAGAAAGCCAGCTCAACAGACTGCAGAGCACATCAACTTCTCCCTCTGCATATCTTTTCTTCTACTGATTCGTGACTTAATCTGATGTCTGAAAGGAAGATGCCCCATCTTCTTGCCTACTCAAATATAGTCAACCCCCAAACCAGTGTTTTCAAGATAGTGGCACTCTGCTTCAAACCTAGTCAAGGACCTTTTACCAGCAACGGGCTGGGAAAAGCCACTGGGTGAAGCAACCAACCTTTTCAAGTCATCAATTAACTGGCTCAAGATACTGGGTATAGCCAAAGGCAGCCTTGGAGCAACTGAATAAGTCGTCTGCCACTGCTGCCCAATTGAAGCAGCTGAAGCTGCCTTGCTCTGGAAAAAAAAAAAAACTTTATTCGGTTCATTGAGGGATCTTCTCCTTTCCTTTGATAGGATGCTGCTAAAATCTACCATATCCTTACTTGTGACTATCTGCTATTTTCCCGCTTGTTAGGTACACTACAGAGCTGCTTTATTGCAATTCCTCAAGCTATCGAATTAAAACTGAAATCAGTTTATTTTTCCCAGCTTTAAAAATGACAAAAATGAGCTTGTGTAGCTTCGGAATTTCCCAGTAGCACAAGACTACTCACAAGCATTTCCCAATGGACTGTATAAGGGTCGCTCCCAAAGAAGGAGCTTTTGTCAATGTTTTAATGTTCCTCATCACAAGAACAGTTCCACCATTAACCGGGAAGGTTAATGCTACTTACTCAGTTTGAGCAAAGAAATGCAAATAACTGAAAGAAGCTTTTGTCAGTGTTTTAATGTTCCACTGCCATAAGTCTAAACAGATTTGCCAGCATACGAAGAGCGGTATGTATGTATGTTCCTTAGTGAAAGCACCTCACATCTCACTAAGCTTATTTCTCCTCCCGGCAGAATAGCTGCCTTTACAAATATGCCTTTACATCCAGAATATATTGTGAGATACAGTATCAAACTAATTTTACAAAATAATCTTACATAGATAACACAATAGCAACAATTTGCTATTATTGTTATTACAGACAACTGCATACTTTTGCAATATGCAAATGTTGCAAACTCAGTTACATCTAGAGATACAGGATTGCTAAATAATTTCAGGATAATAGTTCATTGATGCTGAATAAGGAAAATGTCTCTATAGGCCAAAACTTGCTTCCTTTCTCTGCAGAGCTGCCCAACTTCTGTTAATTGGAACAATCTTCATGGATACAGAAGCCATGATTTAATCTGAAATGCACTAACATCCGACGGATGTAATTTTTGCAGTGATAGAAAACAGTTTTGCAAACTAGCATGAAATTACTAATTCAATACAGCTGTGACTTGTACAATTAGCTAACATCATACCATCTTCTTTAAATCTGACACATCAAGAAGGGTCCAACTGATTCTCCCAGGGAATCAAAAACTGTCAAATAAAAGTTTTAGGATTAAAAACAAAAACAACAGCAGCACCTTAAAGTCAATTTAACTACAGATCTAAAAATGTAACTCATAGAAAGTTAAGATACTTGTCAAGTATCTTGTTAAAAGAAATGCTAGTACTTTCCTAGGCAAAAAAGATAAAAAGAAATCCTTATTTAGAAAATAAATCTATTGTACCAAATACCTTTTTATATTTGAAAAAATAAAATCTTTAAATCACTATATTTTCATTAACTTTCTGATGAGTGATATTTGCTACTAGCACAACAGTAAGAGAAAATGATCCAACCATATGAAATAATCCAGATCAATTCTTTGGCTGGAACCCAGAACAGTGTTTTTACTATAGATCTTTAGGGGTAAGTCAGAATCTCCTTGAATCATATTCTTCATACTGTACTCTTGATTACACTGAGAGAATCATGCTGATCTAAGGATTAGCAAAATTCTCTTTTTAAATGTCCACTAGTCCAGTACAATAATCCAACCTTCTAACATCATTGCTTTGACCTTCAGTATATGGAGCCTGCTTCAAAATTTGATTCGGGTCGCGACCAATTCGGGTCGTGACCAGAGTCGCGGAACGAATTAAGTTCGTGACCCGAGGTACCACTGTATTTCTATATTACTACACTAATTACTATTACTATAACAGTTACAATTACTATACTCTTACTATTCAATTACTATTATTATTACATTATTTTCTCTATACTATATTGTAAAACTGTTCTATTATTATTACAGAATAAGCAAAATTTTGCGAACGGTGCTGTTCGTGACCCGAATTGGTCGTGAACAGAAGTGTTCGTGACCCGAATTGGTCG